GCACTGGTGAATTCTCTAAATTCAGAAAACAACAGACAGATTGAAAAAGCAGATTTACTGCTAGTGTACTTTACAGATACAAATGCTACACTGCTTACAAAACAATGCAATGGATGACAGCACAAAAAACATGGTGCATGAAAATAGTACATGACACAAGAAAGTTACAAGCATTAGTAAATGATACATTTAACACATGGCTTAAGGAGCAAATTGCAACCCTAGGATTGCCAGGAACTATTCAAAATGATGATACTCATCACTTTTAAGTATTTAGGTCCATAGCCAAATTTAATGTGTTTTTTCATACATTTACAAAACCAAACACAGAGTCCTGTTTCATCTTCATTATCTGCTTAAATATTTTTCTCATATATACACACATTTTCTATGTATGCTTTCCTTTGACCACATATTACCTTGGCCAAAAGATTCCATGGTCACTAGCATTTTATATGATTAACACACTTCACTGTGTTTTCTGGGATGACAAATAATATTTATCTGATCCTGATTTTTCAAGGCATCTGAAAATATAATGCTCTGATAATGCACCAGAATATAAAATCTGTCTATGTCTGACACAACTAGTCCATCATTCTAGTAAACTTACTCCACTTATACAACCACGTAAGGCAACAATTACAGGCTCGTTAAGTGTTTCTTCTGGAGTTTACACTGGTGGGTCCATATCACTGGGCTCCCTAAATGCACATATATCATTCAGGTCCATAGTACACTGATTATATAACATTCAGGTTCATAACTCACAGATTATATAACACTGAAGTCCATAACACACAGATTATGAGATTGAGGGGCCCTTGCATCAGGCTCTCAGGAAGACATTCACGAGAGGTGACTTCATATACAATCTTAGAAGTAGACGGTGAGATTTGGAGTGTCCGAGACGGATGACTGAGGCATCGGAGTGACACTGACTTCAGGATCCAACTCCGTCTGAAAAATTCATAATTATTTGTATATAGACAAGTATTATTATTTTCATTATTATTATTATTATTATCATTATCATTATAAAGAAAAAACAAAAACAAAAAAAAATATATTGTAATTCCACAGGTAAAAAAATTCTCCAACAATAGTGATAATTCCCAGCTTATTTTCCTGCAAATCTGTGAATTTGACATTTTCCAAAGAATTTTCAGTATTCTACAGTTTGCCATTCTTATAATTTCAACCTACCTTATTGCTGAGTTCATCTTCCCAAGATAACTTCTTTACTCTCTTTGGAATGGACCCATGAGGCCACGCAATTTTGGTAGGTAGCGAGTCCAGTGATACAGTGGACAGGCCTCCCGGGGATGACTGTTCAGGGAAAGGTGTGTTGGCTGGGGGTGGGGGAGGAGTGGGGGCGGGACCAACTTTGTTGCTATGGGGGAGGCCACCTAGAGCCCGGGCTGACCCCATTGGAGATGGACTGTGAAATAAAAATGGAGACCTTAATATTAATCATATAAGATACAGGTTCAATTCCCTTGCTAAATATCACTACTTTTTTATGAGGAAAGTTATGTTTCAGGTGCTACTGTAAAGTAGTAAAAAAAACTCATGATAATAATATTCTGAAATATTTTACTTTTACTTTTTTTTTTTTTTTAACAAAATAAAAAAATACCTGAATTTGAATTTATTGACTTTCATACAATTTTTCCATTCAAATATATCACTTTTACCCCAGAATGTATTTTCCTAGGAAGAATATATATATCTAGAAATCTCCATAGCCATTAAAAATCAATATAGATCAACTACAAAAATTAGTGTTAAGCATTGATAATTTGAAAACACTGGACATTTCCATACTGCAATTGTAAGTATTGTGATGGATAGCACATGTTAGCTCTGAAAAATGTCCATCTTATGAACTGAATAAAAGCAGGATTTCATTTATCTTTACATGTTTTGATTGGTATTGTTTTGCTAATTTTGCAGCTTTCTAACTTAATTTTGAATTTATATTACAATTATCTTTCAGCTTATTTGCATTATGTTTGGGAAGCTATTGAGGAAAGCATGCAACCCTCAAGTTCTTATTAAGTGTGTCACAATACTTATCTAAGATGCATAAATCATAATTACAGTAATTAAAACTTTCCAATGTCCTCAAAATAAGTTCTACATATATATATAAATAATCACTGCCCAATGCCGTCACTTGAACATCTAGCTTACCTCATTCCAATAGAACTCCTTCCTCCTATACTCACTGTAGAGGATCTAAAACAAAAAGTTTTACCACATCACATCACATGGCTAGAAAGCAATACCAAAGCAACTTGTCTAAGCAGTGCAAAAGCCACAAATACATTACAAGGCATGTAAATCGACAAAACAATCTACTGTGTTCATACAACGGCAGAAAAACCCACTATACACCTATTTCTTCATACTCCCCCTCTCTTGAATATTTTGTGAATAGTGGGTTCATTCTGCCATCACTATATGTACAAACACTACCAATTTTGCAGAAAGCAATGCATAGATTAAGTCTACTATTAATAGTAAGCTAATATTAATGGTTTAAGGATTATTATTCTCAGTTCATCCTAAGCTTTTCTTTAGTTAAGAGATGTGCAGCTTTTCTTACCTGATCTGTGGGTCTAGACTATCATTTAAAGAAGCTGTTGAAGCTGTAGTTGAGTGGGATCTGACGGTCCCATTTAAAGAATGGCCGTCAATTCCATGTGGTTGGTCTGAAGTGTTTGATGAAGCCGCGGGTAAAGAACCATTGGCTAGGGGGTTCTTTAGATAGCGGCGACTTCCGTGGGCAGGGCCACCACCAAGATTTGAACGAACTGAAACTAAAGAATTTGAAATAATTAGTAAGTGGATATCACAGAAATAATATGATGTTGTTCACTATAATAGTTATATGAAGATGACAATGCAAGCATGTAAAGCTTAGTATGAAAATCTAATGATTCTGAGGCTATTTAAATATCTCAAGACATAAAAACAACATCTAACTTCCTTCATAGTCTAAGCTTTCAACTGTCACTCATACTTACTTGTGCTGGCTCTAACACTGCCACCACCTCCATAATTATTGTTATTAGTGTGAGCATTATTGTTATTGACGTGATCATTTGCCGTTGGTTCCTCAATCCCAGCCAATGCTCCAGTTGGCATGGGACTGCCAATGGGGGTCATCTGTCTCCCATTTCCTTGCATCTGGAATAAAATTAGTTTGTTTTTACAATACAGGCTTAGAGAATACTGGTTGCAAGGTTGAGAAAATCCTTTAATATTCAAATCAGGTATACTTCACTATACAATTAGCAATAAATTCTTGGAAATTATAATGTTTTTCTTAGTCACTGTATCTAATTAAATTAGGATATAAAGAACTGTCACTTCTTACTTAATGAGAAAGAGGAAAGAGGAGAGAGGAGAGTGAAAGAAAATTATTTGACAGTACATGAAATTGTACATGCTTTTACAAAACTTGCCAGCGAGATAAGCATGTAACAACCAGTCTTTCATTACCTGGTGATTGAGAGGTGAGAGAGGGTCCAGTTTGGTGTGAGGAACATTATTTGTCACAATCTGGCTCATCTTGGTTGGTAACGCTGCATCGTTGTCATCTCGGTATTTTTTACTGTTTGGGAAAAAAAGAGGAAAATCTTAGTTCACAATTTTTATAACAACTCTTGTTTTTTTGTACAGATTTTGCTTTACTATTCTATGATGACTTGATTTTATGCAAAAAATACTTCACAGGGACAAAATACATATCACAATTGTTTTGCAAAAGTACCATTTTATCTCATATACAATAAGGCGGCACATACTGAGCTAAGAATCACACCCATCAATTCATTACAATCCACACTGATTTCATCTCCAATAGCATAATATGACAGATAATAGAAATCACACTCCATTCCAAAACCAATCTCGAAAACACAGTGTGTGAAATGTGCATATTCTAATGCTATTGTCTCTACTACTTTTCATCTTTGCATCTCTAATTAAAAGTTGAAAGTAAAAGGTGATGAGATTCAATTCACAGGTGAGAGTTTAATGTGCAGGAGGGGGTGTCATGTGATACAAGGGAGGTTCATGGAAAGTAAATGAATTCTTGACTTTAGCAGAGTGACGGAAGTTGTTAAGGTTATGACTGGAATAAACAAAACAATTCTCTTTGTAAAAGTTTGTAAAAGTGGAACTAATGGCAGAAATGTAAAAAAAAAAAAAAAAAATCCATGCGACATCAAAGTGCTTTTGGCAAAAGCTCCATAAAAATTTACCTTTTTCTGAGAAGAGTCAGTATATCAAAGACAGTCATTCAGATTATTGGAATTTCCAGATTAGAAAATTTTGCATCTTCAAACAAAAGCATCGAATATCATAATTTTCATCATAAAAACAAATTTTGGGCCTCAATGAATGATCTAATATAGTTAAAAGCAAAAATGAAATTTGCTCATGCTTCAAAGCACATCAGAATATGGCAATCTCTGTTTCATTCCCAGCCAAAATATCAATGCAAAAATACCTACCTGATAGGACATAAACACACACACACACACACACAAAAACCCACATACAGGATCATTACTGTAGACATCACTGATTAATTATAGGAACAGATCCTTGTCTTTTAATAATTTGTTTCTTCAGGTGCAATTGAGCTTATGTACATGGGATGCAAAAGAATAATTGCTGATTTGAATGCATGAGTATTCATCTTTTTTAGTGGATATAAAGTACTGCAAAGTTATGACATGACAATAATTCACTATGCTGACATATGAAAAACCACATATATAAGTATAGACAATAAACAGCACAAAACCTTACTGATTAAATTATCAGAAATATTTGTTTCTAAAAAATACTGCCAAAAATGATATCTTACATGGCAGACTTATTTTGTTTATACAAGGTAATGGGTGAAAAAAAACACCATATCAGTCCTAATCGACATGCATGTGGCAATCTTCATAAATCGGTGATATATAGCTTCCTTTCATACCTGCTAAGATTTCCAACCAAAGTCATAGCAGTGATGAAATCCCCAACTCCCAAAGATGTCCTGAATATGCAAATATGTTCTTTTTACTAACTGCAGGCTGCTACAAATAAAGAAATGTCCTATTTTTCTTTCTAGATATTTTTTTTTGGCTACCAAAGAAGACAATAGGACAAAACTTTATAACTTTATAATTAGGGAAAAGATAATCAGGTGATTAAGAATAAATGTTTCTTCTAATTCTGCCAGGATAGAAAAAATGAGAATCATCATATATAGAAGTATTTCCAGTGCAAAAGTAGTCCCCAGTGTGCTTGTCATGTCCACAAACTGTGCAATAATGCACTTACACAGAGCCTACATTCCTCATTTTGGTAGGCAGAGCTGCATTGGGATCATCTGCATATTTCTTGCTGTAAGAAATATTTCCTGGTTACCACTGTCATTTGTACATTTTACAAATAACCAGGAGTTGATGAAGAATTCTAGATTTCTTTGGGGATTTTGGGCAAATGTTTATTAATGGCGTGTATATACTTTCTGTGTTTATAAGCCTTGATAATAATTGGATCACTGTGAATTTCTGTAGTCTTACATTTCAAGGACCACTCAGTACTGGTACTATCCTGTAGTTAGGGAATTCTGTTCAAATTTGAACAGTTACTCATTTGATTGCATAAAATAAATATAGTTTCCACCACATAACGTAAAAATAAACTTTAGATCAAAATAAAAAAAAGCAGATTAAAACCTTTATAAATAAGCTGTAGTAAGATTTGAAAAAAGTCTAATGATTTTCATCCAAGTGCACTCCAAAACTTACTTTTTGTGGATGTATATTGCAAGGCAGATGATCACAAGGACGAAGACCCCAAGCAGAGCACCAAAAATGACCATGAGCAGGAAGCTTGAGGTGGCGCCAAGGGGTGACGACTTGACCATGCCAGCGGGAAAATTGATGGTCACTGGGGCAGATGCCTGAAAGGAAGATTAGGTTAATATATTCACATATTTACATTGTCCACTTTAGTTTATATAAATATTTAGTGAGAATTAGATACTATGCTGTCATTCTTCTGTTGAAAGGTAAATGTACTGACCTCAGCTAAGGACACATATCATTTTTAACTTACCATCCTTGGTGGAGAACCAGAGTCCTTTGCCTGGATAACAATGTGGGCTTCTGTAGAGTTGAGTGTTGTAAGGTCTCTGACCCTCAGTTCTCCATCACTTGAGATGGCAAACATTCTGGAAAAGAATATATAACAGTCAACATAGTTCTCTTATTTTTGGCAAAAGCAAACGCTCTCCTTTATACTTTTCACTGACATTTAAGTTCAACCTTTCTTTCAGATTCAAAGGTCTATGATAATAGTACACATTGATTCTACATAAAATTATATGTATCTATAAAAAAAAGACTCCTAACAAAACTATTGAAAGACTTATTCATTATTATCATAAAATGTGTATATCTAAGGCTTAATTTTTTCTCAGCCATAGAAAGCAATTTACCTTGCGTCCTCCCCCATAACAGTGAGAGTGATTTGGTCCCCACGGTCACCATCTGCAACTTCTATGGTGCCCACAGCATCTCCTGGTCTGAGTGTGGTGGATGTAACGTAGAACTCATACTGTGGGTAACGGAATCGTGGATCCCAGTCGTTCACATTGAGAACTTGTACTCTCAGTGTTGCGGTATCATTCTGTAGAAATTGATACAATTGTGGATTTTTATGTAGAGATATATAGTCTTAAACAAAACATGCAAATAAAATATAAGTTATAGTTTCCACACATCTAGCACAACACATCATATCTTCTACTTACAAATTCTCCATCTGTGACATAAATATGCAGATTGTATTCTTGCTTTAATTCATAGTCAAGTTCAAACTCAAGAATGATCTGACCAGATGATGAGATACCAAATACCCCATCACCATTCCTTTCCAGTCTGAAACGGATATTCTGCAAGATATGCATACAATGAGTAAGTTGCAGTAATAAAGTATAAATGTCAATTATCTTTTCATAATCATCTTTTCAAATGTCATCCTATTTAAAAACATCTTTTAACTAAATTCAGTTATGATCATCTCAAATCTAGGTTTTTCTTTTACTTACCGAATCAATGTTCTTATTTATTATAGTAGGAGCAATGAGAGAGTGTTTAGGTAAGTTCTCCAAGACTGTTGCTACATAATCTCGCTGGACAAACTGAAGTTGAGTTGAATAGTATCCCCTTCTGGACAAGGTCACTGTTGTCAGGGCATAGCGATCAGGGTTATCAACTTGTGTAGCCTGAGAATACCAGAGAATATGTTAGCTAAGTACTTAGGCATTGGCATGTCAATCCTGAATATGGATACAGTAACCAACTCTCCATTATGTTCTGTATTTTCTGTATACTTTCAAAGTGTAGATTTTATTATAGCATTTTATAACAATAAAAACATATATACTTTTGACTCTACAACAAAAAATAATCTCACTTGCAATGGCATTTAATAAAAAATGAGTGCATATCATCAGGTTCAATCTATCAACAAGAATATTGATGCAAAAACATGCCAAATTCACAAATCTATTCTTTCACAGAAAGTAATAAATCTACAGCAAATAAATATCAAGACAGATGTAACAGTCTTCAGTATTATCACATACCCTGACAACAAGTGTGGCTGGCTGGTGAAGCTGATCATCAGGCAAGTTCATGGAGAGAGAAACCTCCCCTGTTTTGGGATCAATTTTAAAATACCTTGCTGCTTCCTCATCTGTAAAGGAGATCAGGAGTTTTTACTTACATGACATTAGTGCTGCCTCCAAGGACTCCTCAAAGATATGTATGATCACATCAGCTCTGCGAGTATGAAATATAATCCAGGTTTTGTGTAAATGACAACTATGTTTTTTACTTGTGTGGAAAATACAGTAATCATGCATATAGAGGTATTATAGCACTAACCTCTACTGAAGGAGTAAGTAACCTCTGCCATGATACCTGCGTCCCTATCCACAGCACTGACTGTCTCTGGCTGCACCTCAATGGGTGTACCCTGCAGTAAGAAGGTTAGTATTAAGATCTCAGTTTAGTTACCTACCTCAGCCTCAAAAACATTGACAGCTAGAACATATAAAGTAATGGATTTAGGTTGTCCATTTATCACCATTGCCTTCATAATGATGCATGTCAAAAAGTATATTTTGCTACTAAATAAAGTTTTAATGACAAGTCTGTCTTTGGGATTGAGAACCTTGAATCTATGATATATTTATTCAATCTACTGAAACAGAATATTTAACATGTTTCTCCCGTAGTTTAAAATTATATAACCAGACTGAGAGAGACTGACCTTAACTGGGTTGTCTGGGATCACAGCCATATAATGATCCCGGGCAAAGGCTGGATTCTGGTCATCAGCATCTTGGACTTGAATGGTGACTACTGTGCTGCTGCTGCGAGCCTCTGCTGCCTGGTCCTGGGGAGGAAATATGCCCATGAGAATGCTATATCCACGTGGTCAATTTGATTTTCTTGGTAATGCCATGCCATAGGTGTCTAACCATATGATATAACGACAGGATAGTTGAACATTTCATCATACAGTACTGTTTCTCAAGGCTTAATATAGTAGTTATTGTAAAAAATATTGCAGTCATGTACATCAGTGACATCAAAGCCTACCTGGGCGAGAATAGTAATATTGAAGACAGGCAGACGCTCGTAGTCGAGAGGCTGCTTGAGCACAAGGGCGCCGCGCAGAGGGGACTCGAAAGCGAACATGTCCTGCGGGAGAGAATGTGTCAGTCACAGTATCACCACTCAAGGCAGATAGAAGTTTCCTCTGCTAATTACTTTTACAATGCTGTAAATATATCTAGGGTCGCTTTATGCACAACATCGCATCCTTTATGTCACATTGAAAAAAAAAAAAAAAAAAAAAAAAACTATTTTCACAAATGACACGATACTCGTTAACCTCCGGCAAAATCTCCATATAATGCAAGGGGTCGTATGCTTACCGAGTAAGGCCCGGGCAGGATGGAGTATTGCACTGTGGAAAAGGGCCCTTGCTGATCATCGTCGACGGCCAAGATGTCTCCGACGATGACTGTCCCGATGACCGTCACCTGCGAACAGAGAGTTTTGTGTGGAATTTCTTACTACCGTTATAACTACGTATTACGTCTTTATTACAAATATTACCTTGTTATGCGTAGGATTCATACCAAGCACGTATATTGCGCAACGAAGGGAAGAACATGAAAACATGAATATATTATTTATTTCCTCTTGTGTTCTTCCCTACGTTCTTGTATCTACTACTTTCTTCATATTCCTAACATCAAATCTGTCCGTCAAATTATCTTTATAAAAATCTCTATAAAAAAATAGAATTGGTCCACATGACAGACCACAAATCGAGTAGAATATTACACCCCCATCATTTAAAATTTACCCCAACATTTAAAAATCTCTCGGAAAATAAAAATCCGTCCACATGAGAGAATAGATCAAGAAGAGTAACATTTTACCTCCGAGACATTCACGTAATACGGAGCGTTGACGAATACGGGGGCGTTGTCGTTGTCATCCGTCACCCGAATGTTGACTGGGATGGTGAAGCTCTGTCAAGAAAATACAAATATTTACTATATGGAAAAACTGATGGTGGTGATGATGATGATGATGATGATGATGATGATGATGATGATGATGATGATGAAGGAAATTCATATTGTCTTTTTTTCAAATATTTTAATGTCATTTAAACACAATTGGACATGCAATTCAACTGTCACAAAAGCACAGTCAAGGACGTGCTGAACTATGTGCTTTGTCCACAAATCATTTTTGCATTAATGACTGTAACAGAACAGAATTGTAACAGAATTAGTGTCATTTCTCTGCTTAGCCAAGTGGTTTGTATCTACTCATTTCTAAGTAATGGCTGTGCTTTGTGGTGAGCTTATGATGTGAAAGCATAAAAAAGACTA